GATCCTTTCACAGTCCCCTGGCTGGGACCTGTTGGTGACGAGCGTGCCCTCCTGAACCTTGGAGTGAGTACGAATAGTGTGGCTGAAGGAGACCTCATCGTCACCCCTGATGGCGCGTCCACGAGCCTGGGATGTCCTGGAGAGACATCGCCGATCTGGTACTACGTCAGAGTGTGAGGTGTTGTGTTGAAGTTAGGGTAGATCCAACGCCTTTCTGGTGATAAACACGTTAGCCGATTCGGTAGCACATTTTAGCACGGTAGCTCGGTAGCGTCTAGTTTCAAATCAGGGCAAGATGCAGTGTCTCTCTCGCTAGCAGTGCCTCACTTATCACTATCTTTCATATTCAGCGGACACAACAAAATTGTTCCTTTATCACAGACTTGTGGCACTAGATCATTGTGTGGTGCGGGCTAAGTTACACACTTGTAATATCTAGTCAATATGCTATGTAAAAAGTAGCTGTATCACAGTAAAAAAAAAAAATATGTCGCGTCAGGGTGTAATGTGTGCTTCTGTCAACGCTGGACGAATATTTGTTCGTATGTTTTGCTGTGCTATAACCAAATGGTCACACTGCACTGTGTGATATCACTGATAAATCGTGGTAAGAGTTAAATTATAGTCTATGTATACGTATAGCCATGGGTGTAGTGTGGCTTCACTACGGCGGCTTCTGAGGCGGTGATCCATGACAAACGGTGTCTACCTACCGTCCGTCCGTCAGTCGATGGGTACGGTGGGGAGCCGACAAATTGGTTTGATGGCCACCTGGCCAACAAAATAAATGTTAAAATGTACATATATTTTCAACAAGTGGCTAATAAAATTACTGAGCTGCTAGAAATTATTTTTCCTCTGAATGACCACTTTTAATAAGCCAAAAAAAAAGATGGGTAACTCTGGTTTGCAATGCATCCATTTTGCCGATTTTTTTTACACTATTTCTTTAAGTCTTATCTCGAAGTAGAATGTGAACAATAGCCCTCCGGACGCGTCCCCAATAAGTTTAATTTTTACCTTTTGCCTGACGTTGACGGTAGACAAATTGACGTATCCGTTACTTAATATGTGAAGAGTGCCTTAGATGTGATAAGATGAGACCTTTCTTAGTATTCTAAGCCTGCTTCTACGATGTTTAGCGTCGATATTTTTTTCGAAGGAAATATAAAAAATGCCCTCCTCAGTCCTCGGTCAAAGACGTTCTTTTGGAGGCTGAGTAAAGCGCGTTGTATGCAAGCACCCTGTTATTGATAACGGCTTAAAATGATATAGGCAACCGTTGTGGGCAAAAATTTTTGGCAAGGGCAGCCAGACTTGCCAGCATCACATGGTTGGTTGGTTTGGGTTAACCACCATATCCGGTGGACCAAGTGCTAACCGGAACTCTCACGCTGTTCCAAGCGGCCAGGTAGCGGCAATGCGCACGTGCATTGCCCGAGAATCGAGCCCGGATGGCTGAATCTACTATCTAGAGGCAAGGAACTTACCCCTAGACCAGAATGCTCCCCGCCAGCATCACATGAATACACTCGAGGCCTATACGAAAAACCGCCCAGCGGAACCTTTTGCGACGTGATTGTAATACAGTGACGAACATGTTGCGATTTTTTGCGATGGTGCACAACAAAAGCCTCGTGATGATTGATGTTGATTTCATAGTTAGGCATTGCATTGCTGGTATAAGCTGTATCAGCTGTTGAGGCCTATTGAGCGTAACTGTGATAAATGCACTGTCGTGAAACCGTTCTGCATTCACTTTGGGCACTCACTGAGCTCTACATCGATCATGGCGTTAGGCGTAGGCTTATACACAACTTCTACGTTTATTTGTCAACTGAAACTGCGCTTACACTTCTCAAACGACCTATAATGCGCTAGCGCAGACGGACAGCATGTAGCACAGCATGTTATGTGGCCCAAGCCCAATGAATAATGATGTATGAATAACGTGGCAAGATGGATGCAAGGCTCACAGCCTTCAATTGCGTCTGTTCCACATACCACCGCAGTGTGAACACCGCTTTTGAACGCTGTTCGCCGGCGCCCCACCGTGGTGTAAGCGGTGGCACATGATCCATGTTGTTTGGTCACTGTCTGAGCTTTCACACTCTGTACTGGGATAGACCGCTGTGCCCTTTGTCCTTTCCTGAATACAGGCAATACACTCCGTCCGTTCAGATCGTTCAGGGGGGAGGGGGTATCATGCCCTCCCTCCGCACATGCACCTTAGTCCCCCGTTCGTGATGCGTAGGATCAGCGGAAACTACTTTGATTTATATCCAAACTACACGCCGTAACACAATGTAGATACATTTATTTGCACCTAAGACACTACGGCATACATTACGCATATACAGTATACACTACACAGTGAACCTTACAAAGTCCATCGCATATTTTTGCATCGCAGTTACTTTCACAGTCGGTCATACCCACTGGTAATTAAATAACCTACTACCAGAGTTACTCGTTTGTCAACAAAGCTGCCTTTTATTGTCCAGATGGCTTACTCAACTACAGCTAACCACATGACAATATTGTTGTACCAAAACATATCCTGAGAAACATCTCGGCATCAACTCATTATACCCGCATACCCTGAGAGCATTAGCTGACCCCCTATATGCTTCAGAATTCAGATATAAAGAAGGCCTCCCACACAAGAACTTGACTACGGCAAGAAAATATTGGTTTCGTTGATTCAGTGGTCAGCTTGCGTCTCTGCCCTTGCGCAAGCTCAATATCGAGCTCCAAGACACCATTTTATATGTTCAGTGTTCACATATCCATAGGATCCAGCAGCATAGTTTGCACAGCGGAGATTCCCAGATCCATCGACAACTTTTTATATGCAGAATTTCGGATCCACAGGATCCAATTAACGTTATATTGGACTATGTAGATTCGGTATTACTAAGCGAAAACATGCTATCATAATTCATAATAGCCGTTTTCACGACGGTCTATCCGGCGAGTGCACCTAATTTGAGCAAATCTGCACCTAATGTCTTTTACAGCAAACATCTTTATTTTATGAATTTATTTCAGTGTTTTAATCGATGATATTCTCTCATAATATGACAAAGCAGGCCTATAAGCAATTAGTGCAAGCCTAGCTGACAGCTACTAAGAGACGCACTGAATATAATTTGACCAAATCTGCACCTAATCTGCACCAAATGTGCACCAAATGTGTACCAGATGGCCGTCGTGAAAACGGATATTTTCATGCAACAAATCATGTAGAAGCAGGATCGTGCAGGCGATAAAACTATGCAATAAAATTCCAATTTCCATACACAACAGAGCACCAATACTTCTCAAGTTGCCTGCATCATATCCTCAAATGGCCTGAAGAAAATCATTGTGCCAGATCAGAGGGTCTTTTTAGGCATGAAGATCATCAATACTCCGTAAATAATTTTGCTCATTCGTTCGGATAGAGTCTTGACTTACCCTGATCAGTGATGGCTTGCGTTTATCCTGTTCTAAATTTGCCTGTGCCTGCAATCTTACCTGCCTATGTGATGTACAGTCCACAGCAGAAGTAATGTGGGGTTTCAGTCATGGGTATGTTCTGCTTCTGAAGCTTAGGAACGATTAGCCAGACTACAATGAAACTTTGAATGTAGCTTATATGTATCGTCACCCTTGCAGCTGCAACTTTAGCTATTGACATCTTCTTTTTGATCACTCCGCATTAAACAATCGCCAGTCAAAGCCAACCGTTGAGATTGGTAAAACCCTACATTACTTTAGCGGTGGGCTGTACGCACCGTCTGCTTTTCTGAGCGACGGTTCGCTATTATTTACTAATGTGCTATTTTAGTAGGACAGTTTTCAGCTGCAGTTGCCTGTGTTTATACCGTAAGATTGTCCTGGGTTTCTAGATGTGATACTTCTGTTAGATTGTCCACAGTCTCCTGTGAAACTTCTGTTATATTGTCCACAGTCTCCTGCGAGACTTCTGCAAGATTGTTCACAGTCTCCTGTGATACTTCTGTTATATTGTCCATCCTCTCCAGTGATAGGGTAGACCGGGGCAAGTCGCCCCGCCGAGGTAAAACGCCTCACCGATGTTTCTCGGAAGTGGCAGCTTTCTGGGGAAACATCCTCTCTTCTATAAAACGTGCACTATATGATCATTATATGAGCAGACTGGAAAGAAATTGTGTTGACTCTTTCGGGCGATATAGCCAAAAATGTGTTTTTTGAGTGATTTTTATGTTTTGTTGTCAGATTATGCATCATGGCGTTCTTTTACGGTCCACATCAGGTTAACGACTTTTATGTATTTTGAACAACTATTGTTTAACGCTTATCATGCCGGGTTGGTTCGTGTTAAATTATGTCTTGCTGGAGTGCAAAGCGTTGTTCTCTGACCGAACTACGTGATGGGGGTAAAACGCCCCAGTAGGTCGCGGGGCAAAAAGCCCCATGGGGCGTTTTACCCCATGTGTTGTTCGGGCTACCCACTTTCTAATGTTCGGTAGCTGGCGAACAGTAAGTTTCTATGCCTTTATGTGTATTTTTCTCAGCAACTGGATGGCAAAGGAAGCATTCTGTAAACATTTGCATTGCAATAATTTATTATTTGGTTCTTTGAGGCAGGTGAAAAACCTGCTCATACAATAGTGTCATAGCTGAACACCTGACAGGATGGAATGTGTTAACTTCAGTGCCGTGCCTCCAGAGGTCTAACGGACCTCTCATATAAGATTTAGCCAACTACCATGTTTAATCTTTAATCTAGAGTATGGGGCTTCTTGCCCCAGGCCGTGGGGCGTTTTGCCCTGGGGCTGGGGCAAAATGCCCCATTTGCAGTTGCTTCACAAATCGCTTTCTAGCTGGGAGTCCGATCATAGGTGAAATAATTTGAGGGGTGGAATTTAAAGTAAAATGTCCAAAGAACGCATTGAGCACAAATTTAGCCTTCCAGGTCATGTGGGACAAAAGTTATGTAGCAAAATAAATTATCTGGGGCGTCTTGCCCCAGGCTACCCTACTTCTGTTATATTGTCCACAGTCTCCTGTGATACTTCTGTCAGTATTCCCACCCTCTCCAGTGATGCGTCTGTTAGATTGTCCACCCTCTCCTGGCTGTACACCAGAGGGTAATTTAGATCAGCCAACACATCCCCACAGTGACTCTCCACCTCTCGTCTTTTCTCCAAAGGCAGCTCTTCCAACCACTGCAATCCATTGAACGACGCGTCTCGTACCGTTCCGAAATAGTCGTGCACATCGGGAGCAGAGGTGGGTATAATGATCGGGCCCGCCTCAGTGGTTGTGGTCGCGGTGCGATATTTTCCCAGCAACCATCGAATGAAAGTGAGAAGCTGTTTTCTCGGAGGTTTTCTAGCGGTGGAGGGACGTCTGGTGGTGGTAGTTGAAGGCTGTAGTGTTGGTTTCTCCCGCAAGATGGCAGGGCTGGTGTAGTGCCGCTTAGAGTGGGTAGAAATGAAGCGCAGAACGTTATCCGGAAGCCGGAAGCCGAGTCGCCGGAACAGTCGGCGGGCTTCCATCTCTGGGTCGGCCACCAGGTCCTCATACCTGGGGCAGGGGTCAAAAAGTCACTCGGCTGACACACTGTCGTTAGGTCACCACCTGGTCTATTGGGGTCAACAAGTTATCCGGATGGATAATTTATTTTCATTTTTTATCTTAAAAAAAAGCGGTACCTTCAACTTTCAAGCGAGCTGGTGCCTGGTAATCCAAGAAAACAGTCATTTTTGTCATACTGTCGCTCAGAGGCTACCTACTTGTGAACTTATCGGGGTCAATAAATGACTTGGCCCGACTGAATGTCCCCTTGCAGCCTATTACCCAAGGTCCATCTCTGTCTCTGCCTCTGTCGCTGGCTGTCTATCTCTGTCTCTGCCTCCGTTTCTATCTCTGACCGGAGCATACGCAGGCGTTACCTGCCCGACGAGACTGCAAATGAAAGTACTGTCTTTTGTCGCTAGATGGCAGCACATAAAACGCCTGAAACTAGGCTGTGCCGCCGGGCTCACACTGCTGCAGCTGCAGCGTTGCAGTCTTCGGAATAATCCGCATGCGGTCAAAGGGAGCGGCTAACTAACTAACTAACTAACTAACTAACTAACTAACTAACTACCTAACTAACTAACTAACTAACTAACTAACTAACTAACTAACTAACGAGCTCTAACTAACTAACTAATTAACGAACGAACGAACGAACGAACGAACGAACGAACGAACGAACTAACTAACTAACTGACTGACTTACTACCCGATTAGTGGCTTACCATCCCAGTCAGTTCAGTGTTTGTGCAACATAACATTATCACTTATCACTCATTTTGTCTCATTAGCATGGAGTAGCCTAACACAATTACCTGTCCTAGGTAAGTGTTGCCCTATATGCGGCACGTAGTGTGTTTTGGGACTAAGACAAGGTATTCAAGTTTCAACAGTCAACAAGCACTTTTACTTTTAGATATTAATCCAATGGGGAAACACTACTGTACCTAAACTATTATTGAATGTTACCCCCCCCCCCCTCATCTACGTGAATGGAAGCCAATTGATTGTAAGAAGAATCAGTAACGGCGGGACACCTTCAATTTAGGGGGGGGGGGGCACTGCCGACTTTCGGTCCCATTCTTGGCATGCAACGCCCATAGGGATAAAGTTAAAATGCCAAAATCAAAGGGGGCACGGGGCCCCGGTGCCCTCCCCGTTCCGTCGCCTATGAGAAGAAGCTAACTATGAGTCCGTATCTGTCTCCTTTTATCTGTCTTGCTACCTGCGTCTCCCTGTCTCTGTCTTATGTCTGACTCTGTCTGCCTTTGTTTCTGTTTCTGTTTCCTTGACTCTGTCCCTCTCTGTCTTTCTCCATCTCCCCTCTCCCATGCCCGTCACCTTCTCGCTCATACCTAACCAAAGTGTAGCGCTGCTCCAACAGCTCGGTCTTATTGAACTCTCGGAGAACCCGAAGACTCTCTCGGATATTTTCGCAGATCATAGAAGTAGGAAACATGTCGATCCAGCCTTCCTTCTTTAGGACGGAGTTAGCCACCGCTCGTGGATCCCGCACCAGGTGAAACACGTGCAGGTTAATGTCGGGCTCCTGTCAAGAGAGAAAGAATGCGAGCAGGTTGGGCGTTATCCCGTTAGTAAAAGGTAGGCTTTCGGACTTGAGCATCTACTGCATTCTGTTGGCTATTGCTACATAGCGATAAGAATTAAGAATTAATAACACCAGTGCGCTTATAGAAGAAAAATATGCCTGAATGCTTAGGGCTAACTAAGAAAAGGCAAAACAACAACGAAAAACGAATAAATCACTATAATCATTCTGCTCATGTCAAGAGCATCATGAACAATCAGTTTCAGGCGATCGCCTATCACTCAAAATAGAAACATGACGCAGCCAAAAGGATGCATCTAGCATTATACATAATAGCCGCTTTCACCTACCATTAGCAGCGGTAGTACGCTGCCCAACCCCGGTCGAACTGCCTTCACTATCCGCAGTTTGAGATCGTGACACAGCTGCTCCCGTTGCCGGCCGCTCAGGTGCGGTAGCTGAGGTTTTCTCCAGATCTCCATGTCGAGACTCTCGTCAAACATGGGCGGAAGGAGCGATAAACTGTGGGTGGAAACAGTGACAAATTGTCGGCGGTACACCGATAAATTATGGGCAAAAACAGTAGGTAATATGTTGTGGGTAGAAAAAGTGAAGAATTTCGGGAAGAACCAATGGTGAGCCATCGAGGGAGTAACACTTTGTCGGCATAGGCAGGGACAAAATTTGGGTAGGAGCAATGGCAAACTTTAGACAGAAGCAATGACAGACTATAGGCGAAAGAAATGACAAGCAATGGGCGGAATCAGCGACAAACTTTGGGGACATGCGGAAGCAATCACAAGCTGTCAGGTGTGGACGAAGCCTGGTGTTAATTTCCCAGCCATGTAGCTGATTGCACGTAATTTTGACTCGTGATACTACATTTCTCGGGATTCTTTAGTTACAGTTCATAGCACTTTTAGATTTATTGTCTGTGGCCCGGGGTTCGGTTTCGTTTGCAGCAAGCATTTTGCGCACGTTCATTGCACACGCTCATAAAAGTAATAACGTGGGCTGGGCAGATATATACACTATCAAACTATTTCTACAAACTATTGCGCACAAGCAAAATAGCTCGTAAAAGCAAGCGAAAGGTAAATAATACGAAACATTGGGTAGTACCTGACTGGCTTAGTTGTAGCTATGTTGCGATCATTAATGCCCTTTTCATTCATAAAAAAGAAAATGTATTGACGCAAGAGCAGTGCAGTTGGTCGAGGCATCAACCAATAATGTATACCATGCAAGGTATGCATGTAATGCAAGGCATATGCCACTTGGATGCCTTACCAAGAAAGGTGGAGCCACTTCGAGCGGTTGATGCCACTAGTACCACCATCACCGGCTGTGTTATTTCACTGATGTTCATTAGCCCTTCGTCCGAGAAAGAATCAGAGAGGTTGCTACTTAGCGCCTCGTCTTGTAGCGTCATGTCCTGATAGTTTGTGACGATTGGATCTGTAAAACAAAGCGATAAATGTGTATATAATTTATATAAATAATTAAAGTATAATTGATGTTAAGTCGTGTCGTGTAGTACCAAGAGTCGACCGAAGGTGCGGTTTATCGTAGGTACGATCTCTCACATTAAAACTGAAATTGTTACCATTTGGGCTGTGGAGTCAAACTCAGCGTTGTCAGGAGTCCACAATTATGCTCAGAGTCGAAGTCGGAGTCGTCATTACATAGCTAAATGTCAGGCTTTACACCTGTTTGCTGGAAAACATTACGTTCTTTGACCTATCCAAGACCGATTGTGACCGCGCTTAGGCCCTGATCCTGCTCTGGACTAGCGTTTCGGCATGACAAGGAGAAGACTTCGACTGCATTAGAATCCGTCTTTAGCTCACGCTGTTCTTTATAAGACATGCATCCAATATAAGAACCTTGCAAGTTGTAACACTCAGATTCGCTTCAAGCAAGTACCCTCAGCCTGTTTGGAAAACTCGATAAGCGTTTGCTCGTAACTATCGTTGTTGTTGTTTTTTTTTTGTATTTTATGATGCAAAATCAATCAATCAGTTTATTAGAAAAAGATCCAGCAAAACGAGGCTTTTCACTCTTTCACGTAAGTCGTCAATAAAAAAAAACGGCGAGAATGATGGTGTGTGACAAGCAATCACTAACTCAGCTCACAATACCTCACGCACACATACGTATGTAAAAGCATACATTCCTTTCTAGGAAAGAGTGCACAGTCACTCATGATTGGCTCTTACGACCTCCCGCATCGCTGATCGGAAATTGGCAGCGGTGGGATCCAGGCGGTGCTCGTTCAGCAGTCTGACGCCACGGTAACACAGCCTTCGCCGGCCGTACTCGGTGCGTATGCGCGGCAGCATGCGGTTTCCAGCGCGGCGCGTGTCGTGCTGGTGAGTCCCAGCTGCCCGTGTGTCTATGGTGCTGTATAGGTGTGCTGGCTCCCCATACACGATGACACGACGCAAAGCACACAATGTATGGTAGTCAATAAGCTGCTCTGCCGTGAACCATCCGAGGAGCTCAATGGCATCAGAGACATGATCGTTGCGCCGCCTACCGGTCACGACACGCGCACAGAAGCTAACAATTTTCTATAATCTTCACACTTGCGTGGCTCCGCAAGAGCCGTAGATGGGCAAGCAATATCTCACTACGGATAGTACAAGTGATTCTACTATGACTTTAAGTGCCTGACCGGGAAGGACATGACGAGCATGACTGATTGAGATAAGAATACTGGTACATTTTCTGATCATGTGCGCGTGGAAGTTCAGCGATCTGTCGATAGTGAGACCTAGGTTCTTTACCGCGCGCGACTCAGTGACAGTACATAGTACCGTTAAACCTTACTGAGACAAAAGGCAAGCCCCGGAGCATCGATGGCGTTCCCAGAACAATCACTTGCGCTTTGTTTGCATTAATCTTCATACCTAAAAATATAATCAAGAAAAGTAACCGTACTCTCATAATTAAAATAAAAAATATTAAAAAAGGCCAGATAATCTCGAGGAGCTTTCGGCTTACGCCTTCTTCAACTTGCTCGAGAGCGAGTTGAAGAAGGCGTAAGCCGAAAGCTCCTCGAGATTATCTGGCCTTTTTTAAGATTTTTGATTTTAATTATGAGAGTACGGTTACTTTTCTTGATTATATTTTTAAGTATGTCTATGTCTCTCAAAACAGTGCTCACAACAATTCAGACTAACCTTCATACCGTTGGAACAGAACCAGTGGAACAGAGACGCCAGTACACTTTCCATACGCCTAATGATACTGGGCAGTTCTTGCTTCGTGCCAATGATTAGCACAGGAAACTACAGTACTGCAAAACCTAAATCTTATGCCAAATATGTGAAAGATGAATTCTAATCCATAACAATCACGCCCATTCCATGATGATTAATCTACAGTGCAGTTACTTTTGCCTACGTATCTCCATAATTTATTTGCTAATCATGCATACTAATTTTCAAAAACTTCATCTGAACTTGAATCTTTTAAAAGCATTGTTTGCAGGGAGCAGTAATTGTTTGCGGCAGACAGCACCACAAACACGTTATCTTACTGAATCTCCATGCTGGATACCGTTGGAAGAGCATGTGGATGCCGAAAATAGTGACGACGCATATCACCAGCCAGTGGAGCGGTAATATCTTCTGGTGTCGCCTCATGAGAGGCATTGAGGACATTGCTTCAGACAGGTCGTGTTCTTCTGTTGCCGTGCTTCATAATACCTGGAACAGAAATTATAGGTCATGCAGGCGTTTTTTCTATAGATTCATTATAAAAATACCTTAAAGCGTAAAATTATTGATTGACTGAATCTGGGAGGTGGAAAGGTATTTCGCATAAAGTGACAAAGACCTACGAGTAGTAGCCTGCGTCGGATTGTGTACTCGACGAGTACACAATCCGACGCAGGCTGTTTTGCTATTCGTTCCTTGTTTCATTTATGTCAAATGCAACTCCACAACAGTGAGTATAAAAGTGAGTGAGAAGAGAAACGAAAGTAATGAGTGCAACTGCGTGTGTAGCTACATGTATGTATGTATGTATGTATGTGCTGTGCAGACTGCAGCTCAGTGGCGCCAGCCAGGATGGGCTCGGGCCCCATCCACCCGGGGCCCGAGCCCCGTCCACCTGAGGCCCCAGCTCTCTCTCTCTCTCTCTCTCTCTCTCTCTCTCTCTCTCTCTCTCTCTCTCTCTCTCTCTCTCTCTCTCTCTCTCTCTCTCTCTCTCTCTCTCTCTCTCCCTCTCTCTCCCTCTCTCTCTCTCCCTCTCTCTCTCTCTCTCTCTCTCTCTCTCTCTCTCGCTATCCATACTTTTTCACCGAAGGTTTCAGACAAGAGCGGGCCCTCACAGAAATTGCGAGGGGGGGTCAGCTGACCGTCTGACCTCCCCCCCCCACCCACTGGCTGCGCCACTGCTGTAGCTGGTTCGTAAGCGACGCAGAATAAGGCATACCTAAGCTATACTCCGGCTGTAATGTGCACTGCTGATCAGAATGTAATATCGTCGGTGCGAGCACAGTATGTAACGGTCTTTTCTGACGCCCAAAGACCAAATAGAAGCCTGGGAACCAGTCGTATCATGAAGTGGGCAATTACTCTGAGGTGTGTAGCTAACTGTCCTGTGGTAAAAATAGAAACCGGGTCGCTGGACTCGCTGTGTTCGGCGATGACTCGCCGCTCTGGATCGCCCGGAGGAGACTGTACCGTCACGAGCCACCTGTTAGGACCTATGAGACTTTTTGACAGGCATAAATGGGTCCAACGTGAGTCAGCTGCCAGCCTTAGAGACGACAATAAACTACGAAAGTAAAAGAACGCAGCGACTTCCTGTAATAGCTCTCTCAGATGACACAGACGTCAACACGGCTGATGATTTTTCATGGAATGCTCGAAACGCGCAAAATGGAAGATGGAAGGAAAATGGAAACCAAGGTCTACATACCACACTTTTCAAAGCTTAAAATGCAATGCTTTAATATTACAATCTGTGTGGTTCAAGGGGTGTGGTTAAACGCGTTAAACCACACGGCTGCTGACATCACTATCATAGAGTTGTGAGCTTTTCGGCAGGTATGGGAAACGCCTTCCAGTCCTAAGGCCGGGAATTCAATAAATGTCACCTCGCGTTTTTAGCGAAAGCACCTTGGGCCTGACGGCCCTCGGAGTTTTCGCTAAAAAACATCGGTGACATTTATTGAATCATCCCGGCCCCGTGCAGGAATATATTTTCCTGCACGGCTGGGAAAATTCTAAAGGGATACCTCGGCGTCTAGGGAAGAGTCTAGAGAGATGGCATTTTGCTGAAGTCACAATCGCTCAGTTTAATTCAAACCAAACCTTATGTACCAGTTTAAACCGAACCTTATGAACCGAATGGCGAATGACGTCTTCACGAATCGATCAAAACGTGTAACGATTTTGAAGTCCAAGGAAATAAATATGAGAAGTGTGTACTGTGTAACTCAGGAAGCACTCAGAAGTCAGAAAGCTAGCGCTAGTAATCACTAGCTTAACCTTCTATTTTGATATGAATTCGTGTAGCTTACAAGTCTCGACGCTTTACTTTTGGATAACAAACTTGTGCGGGATTATTCGAGTTCATGGTTTTCGTGAGTAGCCTTTGATCTTCGTCGAGAACAATCAATCATTTTCATTATCCCGCGCCCCGTTGGGCTCTGCCGAACAACGCGCCCTGTTGGGGGGGGGGCATTTTGCCCCCCCCCCCTAAGATCTCGAGAACCACGCAACCTAGCGACAAGCGGCAAACGGTGTTGGATAGCCCTATCAGGGAACTACCTTGTGACCCAATTTTATTGACCTAGGTCAAACCGATGACGTCAAAGGTCAGGTCAAAGGTCCAATTTTAACCGTTTACAGGCATTTCAAGAAATGCGTTGTAAAATCGAGTAAAATGCATTTCATTGAAAATCATCGATGGGAAAATGTTCTTCAAACACATATTTTGCTATTTGAGGTCACTGATACCAGGTCAGGTCACAGAGGTCAGGTCACGGGGGGTCACAATATGAAAGTGTCGTGTGATACATGTTTTATGGTCCATTTTACATGACAAATGCGATTATGTGGGTCAGGCAGCCTTTGGGGCCAGCTTAGGTCACGTTTTGGTCAAGGTCAGGTCAAGGTCAGGTCAAGGTCAGGTCAAGGTCAGGTCAAGGTCAGGTCAAATTAGGTCAAATTTCAAAGTTAATATTTTTGCATAAAATGGGTATCGCATCGATGCAGCTCGTCACGAGGAGTTCAATGGTGGTCTTTGTTTTGCCGTAAGTGGTCTAGAATCGCTAAAAATTGAGTTCAAAAATTTTGATGTCATCATTTTTGAACAGTTTTTTTCGCTATAACTTGACCAAAAAACGAGATATCGATCTGAAATTTGGTATGTATATAGAAGAGCGCAGGCACTTAACATATATTCCGTTTTTTTTTCGAAATTCGGAAAATTTTGGATTTTTTTTTAGTTTTTTTTTCTAAAAAAATCAATTTTTGGGGGGTCAAGAACCCAAAATTTTGAAAATCCGAGATAGCAGTTTTGTAGCGCCGCTTTTTTCTACTAGACCATATAAAGAACTTTGAAATTGCTTGATAACTGTAGATTTGGTGAGCGTTTCAAGATTGCATGTTTTTTGTTCATTTTTGCTCAAACATGACCTCAGTTTGACCGTTTGACCTCAATAACTCCTGACCTAAGGTGACCTAAGACTTGAAATTTGGTGTGAAGGTGTTAAATTGATGCCCGGGAAGGTACTGAAAATTTGGCGGCGCTGCGCGCCGCCGTTTTCTTGCTATTCAGGAAAAACCACAGGGGGGGGGGGCAAAATGGGGTTCCGGACAAAATATCGAAAAGCAAAATATCGAATAGCAAAATATCGAAGACAAATTATCGAAGTGGCAGAATATCGAAAGCAAAATATCGAATGCGCAAAATATCGAAATCGCAAAATATCGAACCGCAAAATATCGACATCGCAAAATATCGACATCGCAAAATATCGAATTGCATAATATCGAATTGCAAAATATCGAACTCGCAAAATATCGAATAGCATGATATCGAAAGCAAAATATTGAAACGCAAAATATCGAAAGACAAAACTTCGAAAGACAAAATATCGAAAGACAAAACATCGAAAAGGCAAAATATCGAACGCAGAATATCGAAAAGACAAAATATCGAACGCAAAATATCGAACAGACGAAATATCGAAAGACAAAATATCGAAAAGGCAAAATATGGAACGCAGAATATCGAAAAGACAAAATATCGAACGCAGAATATCGAAAAGACAAAATATCGAACGCAAAATATCGAACAGACAAAATATTGAACAGACAAAATATCGAACGCAAAATATCGAAAAGGCAGAATATCGAACGCAGAATATCGAAAAGGCAGAATATCGAACGCAAAATATCGAAATGACAAAATAACGAACGCAAAGCGTCGAAAAGGTAAAATATCGACTTGAAATGGCCCTCTGCGGACTCCTTAGAGCTCTGTCGAACTCTGTCGAAATTAGGTTTCGCTCGACAGATCTTCCGGGGCTATCAAACACAGACGGATCCAACCCAGAGTTTTCGGAGGGTCTTGGAGGGTCTCAAATCAACGCAGGCAGGTGTCAGGGGACATGCTGGCCTCTAAGGGCTCCGCAAAGAGTTCAGATTCAGAGGGCACTCAGAACGACCTTTGTGGGCCCTACGAAGGTCTCCGAGAGCTCACGCAGACTCCTGGAACTCCACACTGATTCTCAGGCCAAATGTCGGCTTGTTAAATCACTTTATCCGCTCTTGGTTCCCCTTTCGCCGGCCTCTGAGAGTCCCAACGCCGGAACTTATGGAGCCATGGACCCTACACCGCTTTTAGGGCCCCTACATCGACTCTTGGGACTCATGACTCATTATATATGGGTCTAAGCGGCTTCTAAGAATCCCCATGCAGGTTCTAGTAGCCGCCAGTCGAATATTTGGGCTCACACGCTAGCTCCCACCTCGCTATCGCACGGGGTCCCACCCCGTGCACGCTCCAGGGGCCTACCTGCCTCTAAGACCCCACACATACTTTTGGGGCCCCAAACGCTTGCTCCTGAAGGCCCCACTGAGACTCCTAGTCCTTTCCTCTATTCAGTCCTCCATACTGGCTCTTTAGGCTAAACATCGGCTCCTGGTGGCCATCCCGGCTTTGGAGGGTCTCCATTGGGTCCGATGTCAGTCTCTGAGAGCCATCAAAAGCCTTTCGAGCCTACGAGTATACTGCTTTCTGAAACCCTTCAGCAACTTCTGAGGGACCGACCCTGGTCGGAGGGCTCATTTGGTCTGGGGAGTCATGTAGGTCTCTGGAGGAGCCTCTAAGGGGTCGGTTTCCAAGGGGCTTTTAAATACGGTCTTCTAAGAACGGTCTCGTAGGGCCTTTAATGGTCCACTGCGGATCCAGAAAAGTGGGTTGAGATGCTGAGGGTGGTGGCTAGACTAAAACAAGATTAGATGATAAAAACTAGCTGCATTTGCTTCGTTATGCTTTATTTGAGATAGGTACACTGTAATTTCAAATATTTTGCAGAAATTGTGTGTTTGGGGATGGTTTTCCAAAATCTTCGTTTTTCATAAAGCAATGATAATCACTCTAAAAATATCGGGGGGGGGGGGCGAAACTTACA